CCTACCAATTTGGATGCCCTTTATTTCTTTTTCTAGCCTAATTGCTCTGGCTAGGACCTCCAGCACAATGTCTAACAGTGTCTTTTGCAGAGCACAAAATTTTAATTTTAATGAAGCCCAATTTATCAGTTTTTTTTTAATTCATTGCCAAATGCAAGGTCACCTAGATTTGCTTCTATGTTATCTTCTAGAAGTTGTATGGTTTTGTGTTTAACCTTTAGGTCTGTGATCTATTTGCAGTTACTGTTATAGATTGAATTGTGTCCCCCCAAAATATGTGTTGTTAATTCTAATCTCTTTGCCTGTGGTTATAATCCCATTTGGTTGTTTGTTATGTTAATGAGGTAGGATTAGTGTATGGTGTATTTTGAGTCAATCTCTGTTGAGATATAAAGAGATTAAACAAGTGTGCAGGGCAGAGATGGGGAAAGAGAGATGCAGTGCCACATGAAGACCACCATGGAGCCAAGGAATAGAAGCTGAAGAGACGAGGTCCTTCTCCCAGAGCTAACAGAGAGAGAAAGCCTTCCCCTAAAGCTGATGCCCTGAATTCTGACTTCTAGCCTCCTTAACTGTGAGAGAATAAACATCTGTTAAAGCCATCCACTTGTGGCATTTCTGTTATAGCAGAACTAGATAACTAAGACAGTTACTTTTTGTGAAAGGTGTGAGGTCTGTGCCTAGATTAATTTTTTTTGCATGTGATATCCAGTTGTTCTAATACCATTTGTTGAAAAGACTATCCTTTCTCCATTGAATTGCCTTTGCTTCTTTGTCGAAGATCAGTTGACTATATTTGTATGAGTCTATTCCTGGGCTTTCTATTCTGTTTCATTGATCTTTTTGTCTATTCTTTTGCCACTACCATGTTGTCTTGATCACTGTAGCTTTATAGTAAGTCTTGAAGTTGGCTAGTGTCAGTCCTCCAACTTTGCTGTTCTTCAGTATTGTGTTGGCTATTCTGGATATTTGCCTTTCCAGCTTGTTGATTAGTTTGTTGATATCAGCAAAATAACTTGCTGGGATTTTGATTGGGATTGCATTGAATCTATAGATCATGTTGGAAGAATTGACAATACTGAGTATTTCTATCCATGAACATGGAATATCTCTCCATTATTTAGATCTTTGATTTCTTTTATCAGAGATTTGTAGTTTTCCTTATATAGATCTTGTACATATTTAGATTTATGCCTAAGCGTTTTCTTTTTGGGAGGGGTGGTGCTAATGTAAATGATGTTGAGTTTTTAATTTTAAATTCCAATCGTTCATTGCTCATATATAGGAAAGCAGTTGATTTTTATATACTAACCTTGTAACCTGAAACCTTGATAATAGCTTATTAGTTTGAGGAGTTTGGAATTTACTACATAGACAATCATATCATCTGTGAGGAAAGACAATTTTATTTCTTCCTTCACAGTCTGTATACCTTTTATTTCCTTTTTTTTTTTTGTCTTACTACATTGGCTAGGACTTCAGTATGATGTTGAGTAGGATTGGTGACAGGGAACATCCTTATCTTGTAAAAATTTGAGACCCCTAAAGCCACCCTGTTCCTCTTTCCAGAGGCCCAGGTGTTCAGATATCTCTTCATTTGCTTCCTAGAATCTTTCTACTCATGTCCTTTTTTTAGTTATTATTTTGTAGATATTGATAAACTGATCCTAAAGTTTGTACAGGAAGGCAAATGAATCAGAATAGCTTTTTAAAATTTATTTTACACTAATGGAATGTTGGTATGCATACTGTTTTACACTTCATTGTCCCCTTTAACAAAGAGATCTTTGGACATCTTTCCCATGTTAGCTGTTATAGATTTACCATTTTAATGGCTGCATAGTATGTCATTGTATGGATTGGCTATACTTTGTGACTGTTGTATTTTGAATTGAATGAAAGAGGGGAGGCAGGGGTACAGAGCTTGCTATGATTTGCTGCCTGTTTGCTGCTATTTTAACTTAAATTTTTATAGAAAAAGAATATAATATAGACTTGTTATAAAAAATCAAACAGTACCAAATATATAAAGTAAAAGTACTCCTCCCCTCCCCCAAATTCTGTCCTCACCCCTCTCTTCTAACCTCGTTTTCTAGAAGTACTAACCATGGTTAACGATCTGATATTCATCCTTTTAGATATTTTTAATCCATCTACAAATGTGAAGAATTTGTAGAACACGTATATTCTCATTCTCTAGGAGCTGGCTTATGCAGTTTAATATTGTTCACTTAATTCAGACTGTTGAGAGTTATGCAGAGGAAGGAGCAGGGAGGAGCTTCATGGGAGCCAGGTTCTATCTAGATCCTGCTACTGTCTGAGAGCCAGGCAACTCCCTAGTTGTCATTTGTGCAGTATCCCATCAGCGAGATTACATCAAGGAGAGTGCTTTGAAAACTAATATGCTAGAAATATTACTTTAGAGTTCTTTGGTTGCAAGCAATAGAAGCCAACTCAGTTTCCCTTAGGAAAAAAAGGACTTTAGTGGAAAGATTCTAGGTAGCAAGGGAAATATTTAAACAACTGGGCCTCTGGAAAGATAAGAATAAGGGTGGCTTTGGGGAAGCTCGTGATATCAGTGCTTACCTCTTTCCATTTCTGTATATGTCTGTTCAAGATTCAAATTACTGGGAGCGAGGGCTTGTGTGGCCTAGAGGTCACATGCCTACTGGTGGCTAAGAGGAAGAGTCCTGGGTTTGTATACCCTATCAGAATCTCATGGGATTGGGGAGGTGCAGTTTTGGAAAAGGATAGGATTCGAGGCTGGCAAACCAAGTGTCAGCCTTGAAATGTCAGCTGTTTTAACTCTGGATTCTTGCTCCCCCTCCAGGAGGAGACGATCGCCGGGTTTTGCTATGGCACATGGAACAAGCCATCCACTCCAGAGTCAAGCCCATACAGCTGAAAGGAGAGCATCATTCCAACATTTTTTGCCTGGCTTTTAACAGTGGGAATACCAAAGTATTCTCTGGAGGTGAGAGGAAGGGAAATTTCCACGTTGGAAAATCTACTGTGGCTAGAACTTTAGAGAAAGGAGAGTTAAGATTAACTCCTTTTTTTTCTTTGTCTTGTTGAGCTGTGGTTTCCCATAGCTTGTATTCTCTGTATTATAGCAGTTTAAACACATGTATTAGGGTAAGGGTAGTCTCCCCTCCCCTCCCCTCCCCTCC